GGTAGCTGGATCTCACTTGAAGGGTGCTGCTGGAAATTGGTGGGCTGAACACGAAGACAATGTGACCACGTGGCAAGAATTTGAAGAGAAGTTCGTTGAAAGATACGCTAGCAAGTCGATTAAGCGTGATTGGTGGCGTCAATTAGAAGCACGCAAACAAGGCGAAAGTGAAAGTGTATCCGAACTAGTGGAGGCACAACAAGCTTTATTTCAACGATTGGCTTTGAAGGATGAGAGGAGAAAAATCGATTTGCTATGCAAGGCTTTAAAGGATGATATTGGGTTTGAAGTCGAAAGAGAGGAACCTGATACATACTCTGAAGCTGTGGATGCTGCCAAGAAGGAGGAATCATTGCGTATCAAGTACAAGAAGGCAGCTGATGTTGGTGGTGTTGCTACGGATGGTGGTAGTAGTGACAAGAGCTCGGTGGTGTTGTCGACAAGATCTGATCGTGCAAGTGATGTCGGTAGTATCAGCAGCTTTGATAAGGCACTCAACGACATGAACGAAAAGTTCAATCGATTGGAGATCAACTTGATGGAACGCTTGAGTCGACAAGGTGGCAACAATATTCGTGGTGGTGGTGGATACGGATATGGTGGCTATTCGTTGACATGCTATAATTGTGGACAAGTGGGACACAAAGCCTATCAATGTAACGAGCGTGGTGGTTATCAAGAGGCGGGAAAAGACAAGGGACAGCAGTAGATGGGAAGTCTGCTGTCCCACTCAACAACAAAACCTTCCCAGAATCACCGACACAAGAAGTACATTTGATACAAGGAGTGCAAGTGTGGCAAAATGGACGCGTGAGACCAAGATCAAATGCATCGGGAGAAGGGGCACCAATCAAGAAGAGATCACGACGCACAATTGTGGATGATGAAGCTCAAGGCATTTCTTTATCAGCCATACAACACAATGATACTACCGATGTGACTATGAAGGATGCGAAGAGAAAAGCAAGAAAGCCAGCAAGGAGATTGGAGGTGTCAATTGATCGAAGCAGCATATGGGACGTATTGGGCGACACGAAGGTGGATATGTCGTTCAAGGAGTGGTTGGCGATTGACAAGCAAGCCGCAAAAGACCTTTGTGATGGAATACGTTATCTTCATGGACGAAAGCCACGTACCCCCAAGTCCAATTCACTTACCGCTGCCCAAGTCAATGTGGTGAATCTTGCTGGATCCGATGCCGATGAGGAGGAGAGTGAGATGGAAGAGGAAGAAAAAGAGGAATGGGATGGATTGGGAGATGGGGATGGAGAAAGCGATTCTGAATCGTACCTTTTCGACTCCGAGTTTGAAGACGACGATGACAATGGCTATCATTCGGATACGTCGATCACGCAGTATCCATACAGTCCTGAGTCAATGGGTTCAGCAAGGCCTTTTGCAGTTCAAGTCGATATCAATGGTCATGTCGTGGAAGCTATTGCGGATACGGGAGCCTCAGTATCAGTAATCAGCAAACCTCTTGCCCAAAGACTCAAGTTACCTATTAATCAAGACCTTATGTCCATCCAACAACTCGACGAAAGGGATACCAAGCCAAATGGAGTGTGTGTTAATGTACCAGTCAAGATCGGTGGCAAGTTGAGGCGTGAACACTGTTCGGTGCTGGATCGTCAATCAGACCTATTGCTGTTGGGATTGCCATGGTTACGTGCATACAATATCAAGATCGATCCTACGGCGTTGACTTTATCAGTACCCACTTTATCGAACAAGGATGCAGTGATTGTGCAAGGATACTCTCATTACAAACCTGCTGGAGAAGAAGTCGCAAACACGCCACAAGTGTTCATGTTGCAGATGGTGAAACGAGACATGTTCGAGGGTGCATTTGAAATACCAAGCAAAGTCGTGGCTGCAACATTGGAAGGAGGAGTTCGAGTCGATTGGTACGATGGTGGCAATTCAGAAGGTGGAATGAGTCAAGAGGGGGAGTGTGAAACAAAAGAGGAGTGTGAAGAAAAAGGAAGAGAAAGGAAGTGTGAAGAAAAAGGAAGAAAAGAGGAGTGTGAGAAAAAGGAGCTGCCGGAGGAAATTCAATGCTTGTTGAACACGTATCACGATTGCTTTGTGGAACATGCTGGCCTTGGTCGGGTGAAGCTCATATCGCATGAAATCAAGACCACCACTGAAACACCAATCAAGAGCAAGCCATATCGTCTTACATGGACTGAAGAAGCACAATTGCGTAAGGAGCTGGATCATTTGTTGGAGCTTGGGCTTATCAAGCCATCGAAGGGAGAATGGACGTCACCTGTATTGTTCGTTGGCAAGAAGGATGGGTCTTTACGCCTTTGTGTTGACTATCGACGACTGAATAAGATCACTGTGAAGGACCATTTCCCTTTACCATTTATCGATGAATTGGTTGATTCTATGGGTGGTGCTCGATACTTTTCGACCTTGGATGCCGCATCAGGGTATTGGCAAGTACCTGTACATGAGAATTCGATCCACAAGACAGGCTTCGTGACCAAGTATGGTGTTTTCGATTGGTGTGTGCTTCCCTTTGGTTTGACATCTGCTCCTGCCACCTTTCAACGTTTGATGACCCAGATATTACAGCCATTGCTTGGAAAATGTGTACACGTGTTCATTGACGATATCATTATTTATTCACGTACATTGGAAGAGCATGTGCAGCATTTGGAACAAGTCTTCAAGATATGCAAGGATACCAATCTTCGGATCAAGTTGGCAAAGTGCACTTTTGCAAGCGACAACGTGGAGTATTTGGGACATCAAATCACCAGAGACGGATTGAAGCCAACCGATCGCAATGTCAAGAAGGTGTCGGATATGAGCGTTCCAAAGAACAAATCGGATGTGAGATCGTTTTTGGGGATGGTTGGGTATTATCGGCGTTTCATACCGGATTTTGCGAACAAGGCTCGAGCAATACAACAGTTGACAAGATCCAAAGTGGACTTTGTGTGGGGACCAGATCAAGAATTAGCATGCAAGGAGTTGAAGGAGGCATTGATCAATCCACCGGTGTTAGCTTATCCAGATCCAAATAAGGTGCAGATCTTGACCACAGATGCTTCTGGCAAGGGGATTGGTGCCATACTCTCACAATCGGTTGATGGCTCTAGTGAAGGGGAACAAGTTATTGCGTATGCATCTCGAGCTTTACGTGGAGCTGAGACCCGGTATGCAACGACACATTTGGAGGCACTTGCGGTGGTAGCGGGGATGAACCAATTCAGACATTACTTACGCGGGCGGAAGTTTGTGCTGTATACGGATCACTCTGCATTGACGTATATCCTGAACAATCCTTCACCCAGTCCCAAGATTTCAAGATGGTCGGCTGCCACAATGGAATATGATTTTGTCACGAAGCATAGGAGAGGAAAGGATAACCCTGCTGATGCATTGTCACGGCTGGTTGAATGAAGGGGGATGGGTGGTTATTATATATGGATACAAAAGAAAAGGAACAAAAGATACAAAAAAAGGATAAAAGAACAATAGAGGAAAAGAGAAAAAAAATGAACAAGAAAAAGCAGTGAAAAAAAGGATCAGAAAAACAATTCAAAAGAGCAAAAAGAGCAAAAAAATTACATCGTATACATTATTGGATCATCTTATCATATCATTTCTTTATCATCAAGTCACATTCACAAGCACAACAACACATCTCAAGCACTACAACACTCTACAGCGACTTATACAACGACATCTTCTACAACGACTCTACACTACTATGGATTACGCGCATTATCTGGCCCTGTACTATCTCATCACCGAAGGGAGCTACCCACGTGATATGCATGACAACAAACTTAAACGGCGTTTACGCAACAAAGCAACACGATACTTACCTTATCGAGGGCGATTGTTTATCAAGAATAAAGATGGAAGCTATGGACAAGAAGTGCTGCATTCTGGTAATGTGATGGATGTGATTGCGAAGGTGCACAAGGAAGGCCACATGGGTATCAACAATACTTGGCGACGAATGCGATTACAGTATGAGGGATATCAGCTCTATGATCGGGTGCGTGAATATGTGGAAGCGTGTGAGCAGTGCCAATTACGAGCGAGGAGAAGACATGTACGGCAAGAGGAATCGCATCCCATACCAACACCTACACGACCTTTTTACATGATCGGATGTGATGCAGTGGGACCGATCAACCCTCCGAGCAAGAATGGGAATCGTTATCTTCTGGTTGCGGTGGATTACTTGACAAGGTGGCCTGTCGTTGCAGCAGTACCCAACATCAATGAGCAAACCACAGCAGCATTCCTATTCAATTGCATTGTTAAAGACTTTGGCGTACCATCTTACATTTTAACCGATCGAGGAGCCAATTTCAAATCTGATTATGTACACACCTTCTTGAAGTGGATAGGTTGTAAACCCCTGACGACGACAGCTTTCAGGCCTCAAGTTAATGGACTTTGTGAACGAATGAATCAGACCATAGTTGAGGTTTTATCCAAGATTTGCCAAGATCAAGACATGCTGGATCGATGGGATGAGTGTTTGACACATGCAATTCTTGCCATTCGAAGTACACCCAACGATGCAACAAGGTATAGCCCTGCGATGTTGTTATATGGATATGACATACGCACACCAGCTACATGGCCTGAACCAAGACAAGATTTCGTTGAAGGGGAATTAGCGGATGAAGTTGTGAGCAGGATCAAGGTGATTGACAGTATTATGCAACAACATCGGGAGGTATCCAGGCAACGTACACAAAGGAAGCAACAATCAAGGAAGCAACGTTATGATGATAAGGTGGTGCAAAAGCGATTTGCTATTGGTGATCAAGTTTTGATGCTCGACAAGCATAAACCACACAAGCTTGCAAACAGATGGATTGGCCCGATGATTGTGTCGCGTGTTAACAATCATGGTACTTATTGGCTACAAGGACCTGGTGGCAAGCGTTTGGATGGAGCGGTAAATGGTGACATGTTGAAGGCATGGAGATCAAGGGACAAACTCATACCGGATGTTGTGGCACAACGAGCTGATCGGCAATTACATGCATACATTGAACGCGTACAACCTGGGATATGACAACGCTTGATTGAGAGGGGGAGAGTGAGACGTCCGTGGTGGGATGGTCAACCTTCGCGTTGCCATATTTGGCCGAGAATTTAACCCAAGTGAAACTTTTGCATTGTCATCCACTAGATTAGCTGAGCGTGGTTATTTGTATAGCATCTGAAAACGTTTATTAAAACCCTTGTCTTTTTGTCTTTGTATTCGATTGGGATCATTTGAGTGAAGCAGTTGCGATTGCTTTATTGTTTGGATCTGTGAAGACTCCTTGTGATTGCCGTTTTTGGACTATTTGACACCCTCGCTACAAGCCTTACTGCCCTACGTCTCAGACAAGTCCAAAATTTTATTATATACCAAACTACTACTTCCTTTGGTAAGATTTATGACGTCAAGCTCGCCTTTGGTGCTTTCCACGTGATGTCCTTTGACGATGCTTGATGTTTCCCTCACACTCCTTTGTCTTTCCCTTTTTGGATTCCCCGATGCCCCGTTTCATGCACCACATTTTGCCCACGTCATTCCCTGTTTATTGCTTTCCCTGTTTACCCGTTCCCTGTTAGTACTTTCTTTACGTGTTCTTTTCCCTTTACTCATCATTTTTGTTATCCTTGCTTCCTTTCTGACTTTACGACTTTCACTTCAGCTCATTCCACTTTACTTGTTATGTTGTTCATTCACACTTCTACATTGACGCAGTACGACAGCACCACGATTGCACCCTGATCTCACATTCGTCATGGCAACGACTTCTCTTGCGACGTCTTATCATTTTTATCACTCACTCGGTTGTCCCCGAATGCACCATGGTCAAACATTATCATTCAGACGCACTATATGTAAATCCAGACACGCTAAGATACACGCACACGCACACACACACACAAGCACACGCACACACACCCATATTGTTATTATCATTGTCATCATCATCCTTGTATTTGTCAAGTCAATATAAATTAGCTCAATGATTGAATAAAGAAAGACAAGCTTGTTGAAGCCAAAGATTGAGATTGTTTTCTATTGTTGATCGCTGACTGCAGTGCGAACGAGACCTTTTATCCCTTTAGATCTTTCATTTCCCTCTCTCTATTGTACCCTTGAATTCCCCTTTTTGATTATCTTTTCGATTGTTCATTGCAGGTTGATCTTTCAGTCTACAGTGTTCACTTGTTAATTCTTATTTGATTGCTATACCATTGTATTTCTATTTGCCGGCGAAGTCTTTATCATTTTACCTACCCTATACACCCAACTTACCTTCCCGGATATTCTTACATTACCCCTAGCACCGCACGTGTCATTACTACCGGGGGGCAAATTACATGATAGGCCACAAAATTTCCATATTTAGAAAACAAAAACGGCGGCCTAGAGGAACGGGACAACTTGTGACATGCAGCGGAGCATGCATGCTATCTAATGATGTAGATGGCATGTTTTTGTGGGAGGTCAACGTGTTGTAATTCAAGGCAAAAGTAGCATTGTCATTGATCATCAAATCATCATGCAGCTGAGAAGTCTCCCGAAATTCAATTTCAGATTTGAAAAAGGATCAAGTCTCCGCTGTGTTCATCTTTCTAGCTTTGTTCTTGAGACAACTTCAACATCCCAGCACACCCAATGAACACTCCAGCTACCAACACAACACAAATGAGCTTCAACATGAACTGGAAAACCGACTGTATGGTGTAGGGTATCTTTGGGTACAACCGTGGTCTTGAAACGTTGTATTCTTTTGCATGTCTATTCTCGATCCGCTTCTACCATTGAGCATTGACTGCATCCGATTGTTGCCAACACAGCTTACACGTCAGCCAAGTTAGCAGCAACTATGAACAACTATAGAGCGATAATAACGCGTGTCTTGTTCATCAACGCGAGTGAAAGAACACCTTTATGCTTCAGCCAGGCTCTTTGCAGCAGTATATCGTTCGCCTCGTTGTTATTGTACTTGCCACTTTTGAGGATTGTTTTACAACCACGACTAAAACATGAAGGCGATGGACACAAAAAGGGGTATTCTAGCTGATGGTTGATATACAAATCTCGGTGTACGGATCATTTTGGAGGCATTGTGCACAACGAGCGCATATCGCTTTGACGTTAGCCTTTATCAAATCAGCTCTTTGTATCAATCACACATACACTCGACACAATGCATATAATAAATACAGGAATGCCACCTATACTCGATACGTTTCTTTATGCTTTCATGCGTGTGATTAGGTACATTATCCATAATAGCTACTCGATAGTGTTCATTCATATGGGGATGCTTTATCCAATTCATTCGATATTAAAATTCTGCATTCAATGGTACTAGTATATATAAAGTATGTTGCGACAAGGGGCATAGGTCTATTATTACATCATTGTCAAGCATTCAGCGCAGTCTTGAGCCGCACAGCAACAACATAAACCGGCAGTGCTATTGAAGATATAAGTCATCGCTGCTCTAAAGAGATTTGCATCATCACAACGTACCATGCAAGACATGTTTCCATCATTCCACCTCCACGGCCACCACCCATACCGGTAGGACGACCGCCGTATCCCATTGACTGTTGAGGTGGATAGAAGCCTCCTATACGTACGCACGCATTAGAACAATCATATGTATAATAAAACATGTGCATTATGCAGCACATTTTACCTTGCTGAGGATACTGCTGGCCGTATTGTTGTGAATAACCGCCTGCACCAGAGAAAGGACTACGTGGAGGTGGATGATTATAATAACCACCACCACCTCCGCCACCGCTATATTGGCCATATCCACCAGCTTGGCCATATCCTCCTCCTCCACCAGTGTAGCTTGAAGCTTGACCGTAATAATTGTTGGTTGATTTCATGGTTGCTATGAATTATAAAAGAAAAAAGCCAACAACGTGTATTAGATGTGGGGTAGTAGCTATACCTGATTCATGGGTTGACATCCTTTACGTGCATGGGTTCATGTGATACCCCTCGCTATAATAAACAAAGTAGAACAGGATGGGATGTTATTGGATAATGAGCATGCTATGATCAATAAGTGGATAAAGAAAACGATGGTGCTGCTGTGCTTGATAATGATGATGATGATGATGATGATGATGATGGGACACCATAATCGTGATAGCTGCTGCAGTAGTAGTAATCCAATAGTGGGACTAGGGAAGAACCACCATCACTCCGCACTTGTGGCAACAGCGTACAGATGATGTGCTACCAAGGATTCTTCTAGAGCTCACATGACAACATCATGCTGCTATGTGTACTTTATGCAAAAATATGGTTGCCATGTCGATCGCCGCTTGCATTTACCTTGTGATTGGAATGCGGAGTATTACGACTACTAGGAGGAGGAGGAAACGAGGTATGCAACACTTTTTACTCTTAGAATGGTCATCATGGTTGTTATCAGATATGAGGGTGGCATCCCTTGTGTATTTTTGGATGGTTTGTGTGTGGTGGTTGTGGTGCATGAGTTGTTGCCCTGGGAACCTAGGCGGCATATCGGGATGAGCGCGACGCGGATAAATTTAAAGTGTCGCGGGGGGAAACGAAGCGACAAAAGGAGAGAGGTGTATTTTTTTTCAAATAGTGCAACCATCTTTGCCAACCCCGCTGCTACTTCTTTTCTTCGAGCCCATCACCCCCATTGTCAACACAGCCATGGACGTCCTCCTCCATTGTGCAGACGAGTACGTTCTCGATAATCTCTACTCAAAGATCTTGTCCACACCTGCTTTCTCTGGCAACAATACTGTTTTCGCCCCAACAACGGCTGAATGGACTCGTGACAATGACTGGCGCATCGTCCTCTCATTGTCAGTCTTGGTGACGCTTGGTGGCTGGTTCTTTTATCTTGCAGCAGCAACCTTCTCTTATTACTTTATCTTTGATCATGAGACGATGAAGCATCCCAAATTCCTCAAGAACCAAGTACGTCTTGAGATCGATTGTGCTGTAAAGGCTGTTCCTGGTTTTGCATGTGAGTTTTCTTTGTGTATCTCATTTCATTTCCAATCAACTTGTTGCTAACATCTCCGCTTGTCAGTGCTCACCGTGCCCTGGTTTTGGGGCGAAGTCAAGGGATACTCAAAGCTCTACGATGGCATGCCAACCACTACCTATGAATGGGTCTATTTCCTTGTTAGCATGCCTCTTTTCCTCTTCTTCACCGATTGCGGCATCTACCTTGTTCATCGTGCTCTTCATTCAAAACTCCTCTACAAGCGTTTGCATAAGGTAAAGGCGAAACGAGAGTAGTGGGTATGAATGAGCAACTTCTAACGCTTCCATGTATGAATTATTAGCCCCACCACAAATGGATCGGTAAGGATCAGATGCCCTTGTACAACTTTTATAGCTAACTTGAATGGTTTAGTGCCAACGCCTTTTGCTTCGCATGCATTCCACCCATTGGATGGCTATCTCCAATCTGTGCCATATCATCTCTATGTTTACTTGTTCCCTATGCAAAAGTGGCAGTACATTTTCATGTTTGTCTTTGTCAACTGCTGGACGGTCATGATTCATGATGGTAAATATCGACTATGCAAAGGAATATAGAACCCATATATTGATTGGCTCTTTTTTGCTAGGCAACTTTATCTCCCGCTCCACTGTGATCAACACCACCGCTCACCACACTGTGCACCATTTGTACTTCAACTACAACTATGGCCAATACTTTACTTTTTGGGATCGTTTGGGTGGATCGCATCGTGAGCCCACTGATGAGCAATACAATGCCGAGCTTCGATCTGACAAGAAGGTGTGGGCTCAACAAGCCAAGGAAGCCGAATCCATTGAAGCTGAAGTGCTTCGTAAACGCAACAAGCAAAAATCCAACTAGACAGAACTACACTTTAATCTTGTATTACCTCTTATATATTTGTTCTCCTTTCGCACTATTTATCTGCTATACTACGTGTCATTTCTTATCCCACAACACTCGTCGAGTATTCCGTAGTCCTTTCCTAATATCTCAGTTCTTATCAACAAAGAATCCAAGATTTCCCGATCTCCAATATGCATCAACCAGAGGCCATGGTCGGCAATTGAATTATTAAGGTGCGATCAGATAATAGCGCTACAAATCTGATAACAGTGCATGCCGTGATCTTTTCGTCCTTTTCCCAACTTATGAACAATAACTGTCAAGAGCTCATTTCGCAATGGCTTTGCTCATCGCGTCAACAAGTCGATCCTCCGTTACTAGCACAAGTTCTCTTATGTAATTCTCGCTTCTGTGAACCCGACTTTGGCACTGGTCCTCTTCCTCCTCCACTCACACATCCAGCACAAACAATACAGATATCACAAAAGATCCTGCAGCATTACCACAAGTGATCGACTTTATCGAATCAGCATGGCATGAAAAAGATCATTACAAATGTGCGTATTTCCATGTCCAATTCAATTCAAAAAGTTAACCATCATCCATGTCGTGTCTTTTTCTCCCCTGTCAGGTGTCGATCTCCTGACACAAATGACAGTTCACGGATCCTCGGGATTGCAGCCCAGCTCGGGTAGGTCACATGATTGTCTATATATAGTGGAGAGGAGACCCCATTGTTGAGCCATGTTGCTGCTTAGTGGATATGCTCGTCAAGTTTATTTGCAATCATCTCGCCGATAATAATCACGACGCTCCTGCCATGGGTCGATTCGTTGATATGATTTATGCCCTGGTATCCATGACTGAACATACACGTGGACATCATGCCGTTCAATTATGCGAGGTGTAAGCGTTGTCATCGTCCTCCAGCATGGCAAGCAACTCATTGATCGATATCGCTAGGATCTTTGCCCATGTGCGTTCCCAATCGCTGCATCGAGATACAAGATACAAGTTATTGTTGACCATGGACAAGATATTACATGAGCATGTATATTGTAAGGGACAACATGATCCTTCTTTGTGGAAGCAACAATGGCAACTAAGATTACTTGTAGACTTGAGGTTGGCCGACTATGATTTTGTGGCAGGCTTTATTACATTGATCGATGGAGAAAAGGATCCACGGAATTTGCTGCAGGTGTTCTCATTAGTAAAAGTGGTCATTAGCAACTTTGATATCTCTTTACATGTCGAGGTAAGCAGTACATCACTAGCCAATAAGCAATGCACCATACCTATATAACGTCGTCTTACCTCCTTAGGACCTATTTGATTCTATATTTTGTTACTTTCCTATCTCGTTTACGCCACCACCAAATGACCCCTATGGTATCAGCACACAACAACTCAAGAATGCATTAAGGTGTGAATAGGCTCTTGGATGTGAATGAACCCACATGTTGATGATATTGGGGGAACTATATAGGGAAGCACTTGGATCCACGCCTTACTTTGCCAACTTTGCAACGCCCCTCTTGATCGAAAAAGTCATGACAGCAACAGGGAGTGCCAAGGTAACACCATTTTCGCTATTATAGTAAGAGCGGGATGTCTAATGGAACACAATAGAGTGATGCGATCGAAACCATTGGTCTGTGCGCACCAGCTTACGGTGCCCATGCATTGCTGCCACACGCTAATGATCTATTCAAGGCATTATCTACCGAAGTAAGCTGATAATGAAAAAAAGGATATTATGCACCAACTAAAGATGGGATGTATGTATGTAGGTGTGTGTAGCAAGATCACCCGCCATGGAAGAAATCTCTCTTTCAACAATCCGTAGCGTGGTGGGTGCACTGGCAAGTGGTATTTGTATTGCTGATATACGTGAATCGGTGGAACAAGCCCTACGATCATTACTTGATCCATGCATTGCACAGCTTGAACAACCTGAATTGAAGAATGCTAAATCAGCTGCTCATATCTTGTGCGCTGCAGCATCGGCAGCAGGTATTATATGGTCAAATGCGAATGTCACTTCATCTCTAACGTTCCATTTTTCATCCCAAAGATCCAAGCTGCTCATGCATCGTACACAGCATCGCTCCTATGCTTACACGTCTTTTTCGACCCACCGATTCCCCAGTGCGATTAAAAGCTATCCTCGACGTCTTCAACAGCATGCTTCAAAGTCATAATAGATTCTACTCCTCATCTTCATCGGCATTATCGAATGAACATCAAGGTAAGATAAAGGTACAAATGATGGTACTAGTGGATCTTAATTTTAGCTGATAGATACCATGCAATCACCACTGTACGCATACAAGGCACATCTTGTGGATGCATTCCTGAATTCGGTTTACAACAATGACGATGGCGTACGGCTAACAGCATTGGAAGGTTTGCAGCAGATGATATCCTTGAAGCAGTTTTTGTCGCAAGAAGAGGTAGGAAAAGGAGATATAGGATTATATCCAATGGTGGGGGAAGGAGTGGGAGGGATTATACATCAAAGAAGAGTATGGTAATAAAATCGTACTTTTGAATGCAATTCCCAAAGCTTCACGTATTCATCAAGCAGCTTGTGGATCTCTATTTGAGGGAGAGCAATGATAAAATCAGGTTAGAGTCGTCTTGCTATTGTTAAAAAGCCATTGTTGTATGATACGTCTAACGCACGCGTTGTTTGATCAATAATAGCAACCTCGTTCTTGAGATCTTTTCGGCAACATCAAGGATATCACCAGCAATCGCCGAGCAATACATCCTACCATTCTTTATCGATCATACCATGTCTTCTGCAAGCCATAGCCAGTCATTTGGAAAACCACTCCACGTCATCGACGTATTTGCCAGCCAGCCCTACTTGTCACGTGTCATCATCCCATCTCTCTTTACAAAGTTGCATCACCTCCTTTTACAACACCAACGTGGTAAGTGGATGACATACGGCGGGGATGACTTGCTACTTTTACTAATGCTCTATATGTCTCATAGCTGAGAATGATGACAACCTTGCCCATGCCCTATGTCGAAGTATCCTCAATGCATTAAAGTTATCGAGCAAACACGCTGAGATCATGGAAGCCGCACAACTGCAAGTGTATCCTTTCATTTTAGCGGAGTGCGTAAAGGCAAGCCTTCGACTACCTAACAGCTGGAGGACCGATAAGACGCTTTTGGATCTTTTAGGTATGAAATGAGTCGAACATGATGCATGCTGTGATCTAATCCTTTTTCCGAAAAGCTCTTATACAAGCAACCATATTGCGTGGATCATCGATTAGGTAACAGACCTTGATGAGGAAAAGGCGACAAGGGTATTAATTAATCATGATTTGGTTTGCTGTGTAGCTTCCAAGAGATGGCATTGAATCAAGCTTATCGGTTATTTCTCGATGGTGATCTTTCAACTATCAACCCGCAGCTTGGGAATACAAACATAGCCCAACACTTTGGATTATGGGTAAGTATACCTTATCATGATGTGCTTGTAAAACGACAAGGGATCTAACGGTGCTTGTTCAGAATGGCTCCAATGTGACGGAGGACATGGATATATCGGTGCTATTCCCGGCCATTGTGGGTAATTGCAGGAAAGAGGCAAAATCACCCATTCAAGATTGCCTTGCCTTGCTCCAACAACTTGGTGATCTTTTGATTGATTCAAGAAGCAATATGATTGTTACGCAAAAGATGGCGTTGGTGAGGACGATTGCATCGATTGCCAACAAGTGCAGTAATCGTGAGTAGTATCACTATTATTACCTCATTCTATTCTGCTTTACTCATATTTCGATATCATAATAGCGCAAATGCCAGACACGATCAAATTTTATGCTCAATCTCGGCTGGTTCCCTTATTGCAGAATATGTCTTATCCTAGTAAAAGTCGCTTGGATGCTTGTCTACTCACTGTTTGGGTAAGTTGGATATATGATGTGCCATCGTATGGAAGCCACTAAATCACTCATATCATTATTAGCTTGCAAAAGCACTATTGATACGTGGTCAAGCTGCTGGGATGGATATGCTGAATACGATTATGGACATGCTAAGCATACCGGAGCCATTGGCTTTGGATGTTGCCGAAAGCTTTACTGTACTTTTACAAGACGATGAGCTCGTACTTACGAGAGCATCTTTTGCAAATGTGTCGGTACGTGTATTCTTTTGCTTGCTATACGACGATGATAGTTACTTATCAAATTGTATTAGATCCTATACAAGCAACGCATTTTCTACCATTGCATACCAGTGCTTATTTCTCGAGCAGAATCTACGCCGAATGAAGGTAGGTATGAATCATAATTGACAAGGACATCTAATTGATATACGTTATCCTCTAGGCATGCGGTACAGCCATCTCTGTGCATTTTCATACATCATTATCAATCTCCCTATTCAAGTCATCACCAACGAAGTACACAAAGTAAGTTTTATACTAGAATGAGTTGTGCTGCTGCTCCAATACTAAAGGCTCGTGCCTACGATAGTTCATTGGCGGATTTATTGCATCCCTTAAAATAATGACGTTATCCGACCTCCTCATATCGTTGCTCCATGTCGCCGAAAAGATAGTCCCTGGTGCTATAGGCGAGCTCACACCTGAGCATTTACATAATCTTGTGGAAGCACTTTTGACATTGGGAACTTACAACCATCACATGATTGTTCGCATTGCAGCATTACAAGCATTAAGTGCACTGACGACGACTCGTCATGACGGCACACTCCTCCATACAATGGCACCAAGGGTGATACGGCAATTGGCAATCGCACTCGATGATAAGAAGCGGCAAGTACGAAGGGTAGCAGTGACCTGTCGAGCGAATTGGTTTGCCCTGATACAATAAAAAATGATGTTTGTTTTTCACACGTGAGTTGTTACACAAATACTGCAGAATTTGGATCAAGTAATAGGACTCCCCACCCACCCAC